CTTCTTCAGTTCTGACTGAACATAAATCCTTCAGTCAGAACTGAAGAAGCTTCTTGGATGAGAAGCGAAACTCTTCAAAGAAAAACAAAGTCCAATCGACTCTTGGAAAAAAAAGCACCTGTGTGATAGTCTGCAAACGATTAATCGATGCATCGACTTCATTGCTCAAAGGCTGCCACGGAGGAATTCAGGCTATGGGACACGAGGCTGAGTGGGCCACGCGAAGGTTTCAGCTCCTGTCCAGAATGCGGCCTGAAAATGTTTGCAGTGGTATCAACATGCCCTTTTTTTCGCGACCCACCTTGCAAAATCTGGCAGAGGAACTTTCTTCGTTTTTGCTTGAAGATGTTTCGCTTATCATCCCAGAAGCTTTCTCAGTTCTGGCTGAACGGTTGGGGGCGTGGGAAAGTTCATGTTCCGTCAGAACTGAAGCTTCTCGCATGAGAAGCGAAACGTCCTCAAGGGGGGGGGGAGCCTTTTGGGAGGGGGGGGAAGCACCTTGGGGATAACCACAAGCTCATGGAGAATCTCCCCAGGCACGAGAAGTCCACACGTGGTTATAGTCCTCAAGATTCCCTAAATTCTCAGGGGGGAAAAGTCTTGCTTGCCAGCCTGGTAAGTTACTCAGACCCGCAAAGCTTTTGTGACGGTGCCTTTTTACTCCTCGACAGGCAAGGAAAATACCGTTGTGAGAAGGGCACGACGGGGGTCCTGTCGGAAAAGGTGATCCGTCTGGAACTGGAAGTGGCTGAGGAGACGGTGCAGACCATGGACACGTCCTGATTCCCCGCTGGAGAGTCCGGGACACGGTTAGGGGACCGAGAGTATTCCTTTGAAGTCGAAATCATTTTTTGAGAATGTTACAATTAACCAAACGAATAAAACAAATAATGAGAACAGGATGGGTTGGTTCTTGCAATTTGGAGGAGGGCAGGGAAGAGTCTCCAAGCCCATCATCCTCTACCTGTTGTGATGTAAGTTTTAGGGGTTTGAATACAGGGGGGTCTTCCTTGACTTACAACTTTCGCTTAGTGACTTTTCCAAGTTGGGTTATTGTTCTGACCAAGGCTTCCCAAGAGCATGAAGCAAACTCCTGGTCCCGACAAAAAGCCCTTTAATTAATTTATTGTGAATTCTGCTCATTCACATCCAGCAAAGTCTTTCAAGGGAGGATTTACGGTCACAGACCTTATCTGGCTTGGAGAGCTGCCANAAATCTGGCTTTTTTGGCCCTGGTGATCGAAACCGGATCAATCGGAACATCTGTAGAGGCTCACTTCTCGCATGATACTTGTCTGAGATGGGATGGGTTCTCCTGCTTGAGCAGGAGGCTCGACTAGAAGACCTCCAAGGTCCCTTCCTGTCCTGCCCTGTCTTGTTCTCCCTCTCCTCTCTTCTCATTCTATTCTATTCTATTCTATATTCTCTTTTCTTCTAATTCTCTTCTGTTCTGTTCTATTCTATTTTATTCTCTATTCTATTCCTATTCTATATTCTCTTCTATGTTCTGCTGTTCTGTTCTATTCTATTCTAATTCTCTCCTATTCTATGTCCTGTCCTAATTTTAATTCTATTCTAATTCTATTCGATTTTAACTCTGTTCTATTATATTCTATATTCTCTTCTAATTCTCTTCTCTTCTGTTCTGTTCTATTCTATTTTATTCTCTATTGTATTCTATTCCTATTCTAAATTCCTCTTCTCTTCTATGTTCTGCTGTTCTATTCTATTCTAATTCTAATTCTCTTCTATTCTATGTCATGTCATGTCCTGTCCTATTCTAATTCTATTCTATTCTATTCTATTCTTCTATTCTATTTTATTCTCTATTCTATTCCTATTCTATATTCTCTTCTCTTCTATGGTCTGCTGTTCTATTCTATTCTAATTCTAATTCTCTAATTCTCTTCTATTCTTTGTCCTGTCCTGTCCTATTCTAATTCTAATTCTATTCTATTCTAGTCTTCTATTCTATTCCAGTCCAGTCCATTCTATTCTCTATTCCTATTCTCTATTCCTATTCTATTTTCTATTTACGTGGAATTAAGGAGAAATGCCGTAACTGCGAGGACAATTAACCAGTGGGGGAGCTTGCCTCCAGAAATCGTGGGTGCTCCCGTGTTTTTTTAAGAAGAAACCGGACAGTCACTTGTCTGAGATTGAATAGGTTCTCCTGCTTGAGCAGGGGGCTGGACTAGAAGACCTCCAAGGTCCCTTCCAGCTTGATTCTATCCTCCTGATTCAAATGATTCAAAGCTCCAGAGTTGACAAAGCTTTCGAAGTTTCTCCTGCCAGCTTTCGGCTGAAGCCGGGCCTCACCCCTGGATATAGGCGGGTGGCACATGGTGCTCCCCAGCCGTCTGTGTAATTTGCTGTGCCGTGCCGGAGACGTCTCCCCATCTCCGTGAAGAACGCGGCGGGCAAATCTTCCATTTTTTCTTTCATTACCCCGGCATGTCCTGTCACTTAATTTTTATGTATGCGATCCTTCCTGACAAATTTGATCCACCGGCAGGTAATGTGTTTGACGTAAATCCTCTTCCTTGCTCTAATTATGGCTTCTGTTTCTGACAAGGCGGCGTCTGCCCTGCCGGAGCTGGGAGTACACCTGTCAGACAAGTTGTGGCACTGCCTAATGCCCTTTTATGCCGGTTTGATGTTGGCAAATACGAAGGAGGAGGAGGAGGGAGGGAGGAAAGGTATGTGGGGGGGGGGAGGGGAGAAAAATAATAAAATTAGGGGCATTTATTTGCATAAGCTCCATGGCTCCGCACATGGGTTGCCAAACCTTCGATGTTAAGAGTTCGGGACGGTTGCTGAGGCAACAGGGGAAAATAGATAGGAGTCAGGATCATGGACAAAAATCCAGGCCACGGAGCAGGGGTGAAATTTAGCAGGTTCTGGAGAACCGGTAGCAGAAATTTTGAGTGGTTCGGAGAACCGGCAAATGCTGGCTGGTAACAGAGTAGGGTACAGAGTAGGAAAGGGAGAAGGAAGGGGGGAAGGGAAGGGAGAAGTAAGAAATGAAATGGAAGAGTGAAGATGGGAGAGAAGGGGAAAAAGGAAGAGAGAAAGGAGGAAGAAGGGAGAAAGAAGAGAAGAAGGGGGACGGGAGTAGTGAAGGGAGAAGGGAAAATGAAAAAGAGAAGGGAGAAGGAAGGGGAAAAAGAAGAGAGAAGTAAGAAATGATATGGAAGATGGGAAAGAAGAAGGGAAAAAAGGAAGAGAGGAAGGATAAGGGAGAAAGAAGAGAAGGGAGGAGAAGAGAGTAAAGAAGGAAGAGGGGAGGGAGAAGTGAAAATGAAAAAGAGAAGGGAGAAGAGAGAAGGAAGAGGAAAGTGAAGGGAGAAGAAAAAAGGGAAGAGGGAAGGAAGAAATGAAATGGAAGAGGGGAGATGGGAGAGAAGGAGGGAAAGGGAAGAGAGAAAGGAGGAAGAAGGGAGAAAGAAGAGAAGGGAGGAGGAGAAAGTAGAGAAGGAAGAGGGGAGGGAAAATGAAAAAGAGAAGGGAGAAGGAAGAGGAAAGGGAGAAGGAAGAAGGGAAGAGAGAAGGAAGGGAAGGGCTAAATGAGGACTACCCACAATGCAGGCCAAACCAAGTGTTAAGGAGGGGGGGGGGTTCTCCCCTGCCTTACCTAAGGAATGTGCTGCAGTGGTTTTAGAGCTGAAGAAGCGTCCCAGGCCGAGGTCCCCCAACTTCACAACTCCAGTAGCTGTGATGAACACGTTAGCTGGTTTGATGTCTGCAAGAGGAGAGGAAAAGGGAAGAGAGAGAGAGAGAAATCAGAAGTAGCGATTCCTGGATCCGACAGCTTCCCGTTTCTTCTTGAGAAATCGACCTGCCCTCCGGGTTGCTTTGATCCCCGCACAAGATATATGCAGGACCTTCTTAGCCTCTTTATCAGCTGTCCTGAAAGCTTTATTCATTTTATCGATTTGTTATATTTGGATGACATCCTGCTCGCAGCTGAGCTCGGGAAAAGGACCGCCAGGCCATTCAAAACGTCCCCACAAAAACGGGGAAGAACTCAAACGGCTTAAAACAGCGTGATTCCACCAAGCGTTAAAATTGCTCTGAAGATCGCTTTTATCTCCCCCCCCCCACACACACATACCACAGACTTTTAACTTTTCCATAAACCTGAAATCATCCCCGTGCAGAATATTTAACTCCCCTATTTAATTCCGATAACGTCCAGAAGGACGATGGAGAGAAACAGGGAGAGCTTTTCTGGCACTCGTATCTTCCTAAAAATCTTTTTTTTCCCCCCTAGGGTCCAAAACCTGCAAGGTAAAAGGTTCCCCTTGCACACATGTGCTAGTCGTTCCCGACTCTAGGGGGCGGTGCTNTCTCTCTATATTATCTATCTATCTATCTATCTATCTATCTATCTATCTATCTATCTATCTATCTATCTATCTATCTATCTATCATCTATCTATCTTCTGTATCAGGGACCAGCAACTTGCGGCTCTGGAGCTGCATGTGGCTCTTTCATCCTTCTGCTGCGGCTCCCTGTCGCCATCAGCTCCACAATTGATAGGGCTTTTGGTTAAGACAGGTATAGGAAAAAGGGCGCTGCACTAGGAGGAGACTCTCTGGTGGGGAACCGGACTTCCGGTCGGCTTCAGAATTGAACGGGGGGCTTCCGGTTAGGACCTTTGTGGCTCGTTGAGTGTTTAAGGTTGCCGACCCCTGCTCTTTCTATATATGAGAATTTCCAGGAGGGAGCCCAGAATGCTTGGAGAACACCCAACGGAGGTCCTCCAACCCAAGGAATGCTTGGCTGGCTTTTCTGGCGGGATTTTGGGCCGTTTCCCAGACAGTTATTGGGTCGGAGCCATGCGGTGGGATGGTAAGAAGAAGAGATGTTTCACCAGCATCTTCTTCTGACGGAGCCCAACTTGTTCTCCAGAAACTTCTTCCTGCCAAGAGCTTTGCTTTCTGGCCCAGGGAAGCTCCTTGAGATGGACAACCTGCCCCACGGTGACCCACTTGCTCCTTTGCTCGCATTATCAGCGGGCCACCCCACCCCCTCCGGCTCTTTTCATTTTGCACTTGAAAGACCGGGCGCTTTTAATTACAAGCCCCGGGAAGTGGTGCGTATACCCTGTGGCACCGAGGAAAAAGAGTCATCGACCGCTTGATCTTCTATCTCGCCCCCCCTCCCCCAGCAGCCAGAGAGGTAATTATTTTAACGGTAATTAGAAGGATGGTTGTCCCACATCCAGGAGTGGTGGATGGAGCAATGCTTTCCAGGGAATGGTCAATGGCCTGGGAGGGCCAAGAGCAGGAGGTGGGGGAAAGGCTCAACCCAGGGCAATTTGTTTTGTTTTTTTTTAATTTTTAATTTTAAACACTTAAAACACATCAACCAAGACACGTAACGTTAAACAACTCGGGAACTAAAAGTTCCGTCTTATAGCAGTTACCGCATTTTTCGGACTATAAGACGCACCGGTGTATAAGACGCACCAAGATTTCGAAGACATAAGTAAGAAAAAAAAGTTTTTGCCTCCCCCCCCCCCTCCAGCCCCGAGGAGCACTCTGCTGGCTTAAGCAGGGCTGGGGGAAGGCAAAAACGCCCCCATTTTTCACCCAAATGGGGGTTTTTTATCTTCCCCCAGCCCTGCTGAAGCCTACAGAGTACTTCTGCAGGGTGGAGGGAGGCAAAAACTCCTGGTTTGGTGAAAAAAACGGCCCATTTTTTGCAAAAAAATGGAGCCTTGGGAGGCCAAAAATGGCTGTATTTGGTGTATAAGACACACCAACATTTCCACGCTGTTTTAGGGGGGAAAATGGTGCGTCTTATATTCCAAAAAAATTGGTACATATCGGTGAATCTTTGCAGTTATTGTTCCCCTTTGTATATAGATTTTAATTTTATATTTGTGGCCACCTTGTTTCTTACTCTTTTTCATGTCCAAGTCCTTAGTTATTCATATTTAGCCGTTTATATCAGACAATCATATTGCCTATGTGATACCGTATATGCTTTTATTACATTAATATATCTTATCTTTCCTACTCCCTATCTTATCTCTATAACTTAGTTGATCTACTATACTTTAATTTTACATTTTCCCAATTTCTTTCTTTTTTTAAAATATATTTTTATTGTTTTTGCATTTAAAATAATGCAGTGCAGTGAAGCTGTTGTGGCCACACAGATAGTATCAGTGGTGGGTTTCAATTTTTTTTGAACCTACTCTGTGGGTGTGGCCTCCTTTGTGGGAGTGGCTTGCCAGCCATGTGTTTTCTCTCTCTCTCTCTCTCTCTCTCTCTCTCTCTCTCTCCTTCCTTTTGTCTCTCTGTCCCTTTTTCCCTTTTTTCTTTCATCTCTCTCTCTCACTTTTTCTTTCTTTCTTTCTTTCTTTTTCTTTCTCTTTCTCTGTGTGAGTCTGTCTGTCTGTCTGTCTCTCTCTGTGTGTGTGTGTGTGTGTGTCAGTGGTGGGTTTCAAAAATTTTTGGAACCTCTTCTGTAGGTGTGGCCTGCTTTCTGGTGGAACCTCTTCTAACCGGTTCGGTAGATTTGACGAACCGCTTCTACCGAACTGGTGCAAACTGGTAGGAACCCACCTCTGA